AGTTTTAAGGAGAAAATACTCAGCAATGGTGTTGATTAATAGATTGGCACATGGTTTGTCTAAAAGCATATTAAAAACACCACATAGACAAATAAACAACATAAAAAAAATTATTTTCACCACAGGGGGACTTTAATGTATGTTTTCACTTTGTGAAAAAGAAATATAACATGAAAACTGAAAAAAAAAAAGTAAATAAAATAAAAGCACAGCACAGCACAGCACAGCTGATGGTTCTTCAGATCAAATACTTCTGTTTAGCATATGGGTACCTCTGGTAATGAGAAAAGAGGAGGACTGGAGGAGCAAAAGGGGGGAAGGGAGTTGTTTTGCCTGGGGGATGCAGATGTAAGACACAGGATTACAGGGAAGGCCACAGCTGACTGCCAGAACACCGTCAGAGAGGGAGGGAGATGGTAGTGTGAGGGAGTTAAGTGTGCAGTGTTGCTCTAGGGTAGACACATCTCTCCAGAGAGAGCAACAGCGCTGATACTGACTGAGATGCGCGCACACACACACACACGTACTCATAGTGGTAAGAACTCTGCTGAGCTGATCAGGACGTTTTGCTGTGGATCCTGAACTTCACATTATACTTCCCATCAATAAGAGGTAAGGGCTGTATTTGTTCATGACAGCTACAGATGGGGGAAAAGTGTATATGTAAGGTTTATTGGTTCATTAAGAGCGAAATTACTCAACAGTACGCATGTACACACAATCTCTCTCTCTCTCTCTCTCTCTCTCTGTGTTCTACTCACCCCAGTACAGCTCCTATGGCTATACCAGCCAGCAGCCCTCTAAGTCCCAGATTCAGCCGGAACACTCCTCCTGTGAGAGCTGAACACAAACACATGTGAATACTGTCATTCTTTCCTGTCATCTTAGTACGACAAGCAAAAATGCTTTTAAAATCAGTTAACTTGAGGCACAGACACACGCCTACTAAACCATCACCCAGAGGATGAGTGAATTTACCACCTGCAGCAGCGAAATGGCTCAGATCATTTTTGTCTCTGTACACTGTCAATCCAGTACTTACAGAGCTGTAAAAAATATTTGAACAGCATAAAGCATTTTTTGTAAATGCGGAAACTGACAGGCTATTAATTTTCCTGCAACAACAATCCTAGTACAGTACTTCTAAACCAATTATACTGTTTTCAGACACATGCTGTATATATATTTCTAAAACTCAAATATGCTGTTCAAATATTGCTGCACATTGGAAAGGTGCAGTTTGTACACTAACTAGTAACTGTTAATAAACTAGCAGTACCTAAAGAAACTGCAAAATAATGACGGTTTTCAAATAGGTTTCCCCAAACAGTCCTACCAATGCCTTTCAGCCTTCCCCAAAATCACACCATTGGCTAAATCAGCAGTTTTCACAGCTTTCAAAAAGAGGAAAAAAAAAATAGAGAGACTGATAGCCGCAATCAGAAGAGAAAACAATGTCAAATTCACCGTCATTCCTATAGACTCTGTATTAGAAACACCCTCATAGCAGCGTTAACCAGTTTTTGTAATTTGATGAAAAGTAATATAATACAAGGTGTTGTAAATGTACATACATTTTTTAAATATGAAAATATAAAAAAAAACCTTGCAGGATTTGCAATGCTGATGACCATTAAAACGCATCATCACAGTCTGTGAAAACAGTCCATGATACATAGTCCACCCAAAAATGAACATTTGCTGAGACACTCAGGCCATCCACGACATAGATGAGTTTGTTTCTTCAAAGAACATTTAGCATTAGATCACTTGCTCATTAATGGATCCTCTGCCATGAATTGGTGCCATCAGAGAACAAACAGCTGTTACAAACATCACAATAATCCACAAGTCACACGACTTACATGACAGGCCCTTCAAATAATGTCTTGTGAAGCGAAAAGCTGAATGTTTGTAAGAAACAAATCCATCATCAAGATGTCACTTCCGAATCAGAATCTATAACTTTTTCTCTTGTAACAAAGTCCATCCTCTGTTGTCCTCTCACATCAAAACCAATCAACATATTTGTTTAGAACTGTTTTGGCTTGACGGAGCTTGATCTGTGCATATTTCTCTCCTGATTCAGAAAAGGTAACTTTTTCACTGAAGAAAGCAATATTATGGATTATGAAAAACAAAACAGTCCAAAACTGTTCTAAACAAATATGTGGGTGGATTTTGATGTGAAAGGACAACAGGGGATGGACTTTTTCCACTGGAGGAAGTGATATTATGGATTATGGGCTTGTATTTTAGCTGGAAGCGATGGTTTGAAGTTAAAAAGTCTTAATGACGGATTTGTTTCTTGCAAACATTCAGCTTTACACTTTACAAGATGTCAATTGATAGACTGGAGTCATGTGGAATACTGTGATGTTTTTAATCAGTTGTTTGGACTCTGGATTCTGACGGCACCCATTCACTGCAGAGGATGCATTGGTGAGGATATGATGTAATGCTAAATGTATCCAAATCTGTTCTAACGAAGAAACAAACTAATCTACATCTTGAATTGGCTGAGGATGAGTACATTGAGTCTATATCTTTGTGTAATACAAGTGCATTCAAACATGTAATTAAATGTCTCACAAATTAAACCTTAACATAACTAAACTTACTTAAACATGGTCACAAAAGCTGCTACCCTCCAGCTCCACCTCCAGCCAAAGCTAGCAATTATTTTTTATTTAAAATAATCACATTTTGTTGTTTTGTAGCCTGAAATGAAGACGGACACAGTTTTTGTTTTATCCAGCTGTGTTTACTCAGTGCAGCTTATAACATCCAAGTGAAAGATATAACACCAACATGTCAGAAAACAGAAACAGAATCACTGAGTTGGAAAAAGGATCACCCCTTGTGTCAGTATTTTTTTGAACCACCTTTTGCTTTAATTAAATTCTTTAGTCTGTTGAGATACATCTCTACTAACTTTGCACATCTAGACTTTGCAATATTTGCCCACTCTTCTTTGCAGAACTGCTCAAGTTCAGTTCATTTGATGGTGAGCGTTTGTGGACTACAGTCTTCAAGTCATTCCACAGATTTTCAATGGGGTTTCAGTCTGGGCTCTGACTAGGCCATGCAAGGACATTCACCTTTTTCTCCTTCAACCACTGTGTGCTCAGTTTTGCTGTGTGCTTTGGGTCATT